CCCTTCCAACCTACATCATTCTGTCAGTCTATGAACTGACCATAACCTCCACTCCCTGTTTCCCTGCCCAGCTCAGGATGGATGTGGTAGAGAGAACGATTTTCTCTTAGTAATGCTCTATATGGCCAGCTGAAATTTTTGATTGATATTTTGGTTTTATAAATTGCTGTTTCTGGAAGCAAAAGTGTATAACTTTACAACATTAATTACTGATAACCAGTTTTAAATACATTTCTGTGTATTTTGCTGGTGTAAAATGCAGTTTGATTGCAGTCTTAGAACATATTTCAGTAGTTTAATTCTTTTATCAGCATTCTCAGTCATGCTTTGTGAGAAACCAGACAAGTGAAGATCCAATCTTTTTCTCAGATTACCTATAGTTTAAATTTATGAGATTACATAACATGTTCTGTTCTTCATCCATCGATTTTTTTTAAACTAATCGGAAGCCTTTGTATTACTACAGTTATTTGATGTGTTTTGTTTCTTGTTTTAGCTCTCAACAGATAAAACAGTAAAAGTCCTGAATATTTTGGAGAAGAATATTCAAGATGGATCAAAGCTTTCTGCATTACTTAACCATGTGAGTTTCAAATTACATTGTTTCACAATATTGTGTAGAATAGGGTTTTCTTCACTTGAGTCCCATATAATGATAGTTTCAAATTCTGTGTGTATGTGTCAAAGGAATTTCTGATTTTATCTGTACATGCTTAAGAGATTGCCAAATTTTAAGATTTGAATTAAAATTCAATTGATTATATTTTTTCAGTACTAAACATGTTTTACTATAGTACTGGTAACTCTCAAATGTATTGGAGACAACTGAGTTGTATTTTAAGTTAATTTTAAATATTATAGTTTCATCCTGAAGTATTCATGGTAACTGGTGTAATTTGCACCACTGGACATTTATTTACTACTTTTCTACATGTACATAAAACATCCCTTACGCAATGGAAGAAGTATTACAGTTTTCATGTAGAGCGTGTTCTTCCTCTGCATTAAGAAATCCGCAAGTGCTTTATTTAGGTCTGCCTTTATGCTGCAAAGTGGAAGTTATCAGTGTAAACAAAATTAACAGGAAGTTTAAGATTTTAGGGTTTTTTTTCTCATATACCTAAAACTACGTGGGGATTTGTAGTTTTTTATGACGCTGAAATGTGATGTTACACATTTTATATATTTATTTATTTCTAAACTTTCTAGTCAAAACAACATTCTAGCAAGAATAGAGTTCTTGAATTTTAGGGAAAAAACCCCTTGATCTGCAAAAATAGAGACTAATTATGTGTATTGGAAAGAAAGAATTTGGACTTGAAAATGAAAACCAGAGACACATTATTTGTACCTAAATATTTTCATCTAGATAGTTTGGCTTTTTGAAGTTTCAGTATATGGTTCTGAATTTTTTTAGCAGTATGAAGAATAAGTGAAAAGAAGGTGCTGGTTTACCTGCTTTAATTCAGTATGAGTGATTCTTTTTGCCAGTGTTGTTGAAATTATATTTTTCTTTTAACTTTTTGTAGTAAAACTCAAGATTATTAAGCAGTTAATGAAATTGTTCAATGATTGCAATTCAGAGATAAAGGTTTGATTAAAAAAGAAGCAATCTTTAGCTGAACAAGTTTTATATTTTTCTTAAAACCCATGAAACATAATTCAGGTCGTTATGGCAAAGAAAGCTTATGCTAAGGAATAAGCTTACTTCTTTTACAGTGCTGTGAAAATATCTTACCTCCATGTCAGGATATTTTTCAGAGTCTGATTGCACTTTCTTTTTATTTCTAAGATTAATGAGAGAAAAAAACACCAAACTCTTTGGGGTTTTGTTTTGTATTTTTTTTTTTTTTTTAAGCCTCCTTCATGTAAGGAACAAATGATTTTAAGCCTTTCTATGCAAGAAGTTTACAGGGATCTCCTGATTTGCAGATTTCTGTTAATTTTTCAAATATGTATCTCTCATAGATATATATATAATGCACTGTGATATTTTTAGATTCTCTTAGCCCAAAGGGAAAAAGTTGATATGATTTCATCAACCCCTTATTTTTACAAGAAAAGCTAACAGTGTTTAACTGTGCTGTTATACAGGCAAGAAAGAGTCTTTTACTGTGCACCAGAGAAGTTATTAAAAATTCTGCCTGGTTTTCCTATTAATAATGTTATTACAATATTTCAGTAGTGCTGAGTGGTCATAATTAACCTCATGTATGTTTGGTTTTATAACTGGTACAAATACAGAGATTCCATACCCTGTGCTAGATCTAAATGGTCATATTTCATAAGACATGTTTTAAACCCATTTGATAATAGATGAGTTGGTCTGTGGAGAAAGTTGTATTCTCATGAGTTTTGTGTGACTTAAGAATCTTCTGTGTAAGAATTCCCTCTAGCGGCAAAAAATAGACAGATCAAAGCAACAACTGGTGTGCATAGGCCACTGAAGAAAACACTCAAATGAGATTAGATTTTGATTAAGGTACATCATTCTCAAGAAGAGAATGTGGCAGTCTTCCTCTGTAATGCTTCCTGATGATACACAGAAATCTTCTTTGTGTTTTACCAGAAAAATACAGTGAGATATTGAAGACTTGTAACTCTGTACTAGGTTACAAACCTATTACTAGTAAAACAAACATTAGTTGATTTCTAAAACAAACTATTTCTGTTTCATAAAGGAAATACAACATTTTGTATGTGTATGTAAGTATGTTAAAACAATGTTATATTTTACTTGGTAAGAATAAAAATTTGACAACTTGTTCACACTATGTTGTTTTTTATTGCCTGTTACAGAACAATGACACTGAAGATGAGGAGAGATTATGGAGAGATCTTATTATGGAGAGGGTGACAAAGTCTGCCGATGCTTGTCTTACTGCTATCAATATTATGACATCACCAAATATGCCTAAAGCTGTATATCTTGAGGATGTAATAGAAAGAGTTATTCAATACACAAAATTTCATTTGCAGAACACTCTCTATCCTCAATATGATCCTGTATATAGAGTGGATCCTCATGGTGGTTAGTATGCTAAATGTTTTGCATTTAGTGTTTTGTTGCCATATATATACCTTCAGATGTGGGTGTCCAACTTCAAGAACAGTTTTAAAAATCTTGGATCCAGAATTCAGAGCAATTATGAAAATATAAAATTTTTGCTCTCCACCTGTTTCTTCTACATAGCTTTTCTTCTGTAGGCAATCGCATTTACAAAGCTGTAATCATGGAGTTGTTTGGGGGACTCTTTTTGAGGAAGATGATCATCTTTCTCATATTTGATGTGAGTGAAACATTGAAAAAGCTAAAAGCTATTTTTTATTTTGTAGGTGGTGTTTTAAGTTCAAAAGCAAAACGTGCCAAGTATTCCACCCACAAGCAAAGAGTTATAGTGATGTTGTATAACAAAGTTTGTGACATTGTCAGCAGTTTGTCAGAGTTGCTAGAGATACAGCTTCTTACTGATACAACAATTCTTCAGGTAAGTTTTATCAGAAGAATTTCTGTCTGAGAAGGTTTGTTTTTCTTTTCCCAGAGAGACTGTAAAGTGTGATTGTCTCAATGACATGAAGTATTGGGCTGGTTTTATTGAGACAGAGGTAATTTTCCTCACAGTAGCTAGAATCAGTACAAATCAGTACAAACTTTTGAATTATTAACATCAGTGACTAGTGTGTTGTGTAGTATGTAATCTGCAGAAGAGCATTTAATGTTCAAATCTTTAATGCCTTTTATTGTATACTTAAGAAAAGTTTAACCTGATTGTATTCAAATATCCTTTAATAACTTTATTAAGTAATTAATAGTAATACATGTTGTTGAATACCTTACCTGCTGAATGAATAACCTACTTGTGAAACTGCATAAGTATCAGTTTGTCAGTCAAATATACTTAAAATAACTTCTTTCCGTTGATAGGTATCATCTATGGGAATAACACCTTTCTTTGTAGAAAATGTCAGTGAACTACAGTTATGTGCCATCAAATTAGTGACTGCAGTAAGTAATTTTTAATTTGCAGTTTCATTTTCCTGTACTTCTGAAAGTTATTAGGGCATTTACATAGGCTGTACTTTTGGTGCTCGAGAATTGGAGTTTAGAACTAATTGTATTCTTGCATGTTTTTACAGTTTGGTATCATAATCTAGAAACAGTATTAAATCTACCTGAGTTCCTCCTGTTTGCAGACTACCTCATAGGAAGAAATAGTCTGCTTAAGCTAAGGGATTTACTTAATTTTGGTTGTTTACAGTGTAAATACAAACCCTTTCCTCTTACCTGCCCTTTCTTGTCTTAAGAAATCTGAACAGTGTGGTTTTCCTTATTGATTTTGTTAAGATCTGAATTTATGTAATGGAATAAGCTATAGAACCAGTAAGATACTTTTATATAATAGAATGAGTTCTTTTCCTCAGAAGAGGTGGTATGTGTCGTGGTTTAAGCCTAGCCAGCAGCAAAAGACCACAAGGATGCCTGCTCACTCCCCCTTCCGGTGGGATGTGGAGGAGAAAATATAAGGGAAGGTTTGTGGGTTGAGACAAGGACAGGGAGGAATCACTCACCAATTATGGTCATTGGCAAAACAGACTCCACTTGTGGAAGAAAAATCCATTTGATCAGTTACCAATCAAATCAGAGTAGGATGATGAGAGACAAAACAATCCAGATCTTAAAAACCTTCCCCCCATCCCCCCTTCTTCCAGGTCTACCTCCTCCCCCCACCTAGCGGCACAGGGGGGACAGGGGATGGGGGTTTCTCAGTCAGTTCACCACACATTATCTCTGTCACTCCTTCCTCCTCATGGGGAGGACTCTTCACACTCTTCCTGCTGCGTGGGGTCCCTCCCATGGGTGACAGTCCTCCATGAACATCCCTGGCATGAGTCCTTCCCACAGGCTGCAGTTTTCTTCTCTAACTGCTCCGGCATGTCCTTTCCATGGACATGTGGTCGTTCAGGAGTGGACTGTTCCAGTGTGGGCTTACCACAGAGTCACAGGCTCTTTGGGTGCAGCCACCTGCTCCTATGTGGCACCCTCCCCCATGACATGGCTGCACTGCAGGGCATAGCCTTCCCTCTCACCACAGGCATCTTCTTCTCTTGTGCCCCTCCCTCCACTCCTTTCTGCCCTGACTTTTGGTGTCTGCCTTGTTGTCTCTCTCCCATTCCACTTCTCTCTCCATGCTGATTCTGTCCACTCTGTTTCTGCTGCTACTTCTTCTCTTTTTGTGTCTTCCCCTCTTAAATATGTTCATTTGCAGAGGTGCTGATTGTCTCGGCCATGGCCAGAGGTGGGTCCAATTTGGAGCCAGGGGAACTTTTCATGAAGCTTCTCACAAGAGCCATCCCTGTGGCCCTTCCCTGTTACCAAAGCCCCCTACCACAGAAACGCAACACACTAGGTGAAAAATTCATGGGGCAGATAGAATATTATTTCAGGAAAACTGCAGTGCAACACACGTGCTTGTTTGTTGATGGAAGTTTTCCATCTTTGTAAAGATGATATACTCCAGTATTTATAAAAGTAATTCTGCCTAAACAAAATGAGAGGCAAAAACTCTACAATCCTGTCGCCGTAAATTGAAATAATGTTTCATGTCAGGCAAACCTTATAGCTTAGGATAGGAAGTAAAACTGGTTTCTCAAATGTGGCCTAAAACTATACATGTGTTCATGTTAATTTATGTCACCACAGAGTTTTGCACTGTACTGGAGTCTGAAAGCTTAGCATTATATTGTTTGACTTTTTGTACCATTGGCAGAATTTTTTAAAATATATGGTATTTTTAAGAGCTATTACACATTTATGCTGTTTGAAGATTTAAAAAAAATCTATATTTGAAAAAGTTTTTGTGTTTTATAAAGAAATGCTTGCTTTGAAAAAACAAAACAATGCATTGAAACCAAGGTATGCATTAAATATAATTTATTTAAATGTCATGTAAAGAGTATGTCTCCCTCTATAATTTCTAAAATTCTGTTTAACAAGTGATATTTTATGTAACAATATGTAATTTTTTAACAATCCTGTAACTGTTAAATAGGTGTTCTCCAGGTATGAAAAACATAGACAGTTAATACTAGAAGAAATTTTTACTTCCCTTGCACGGCTACCAACTAGCAAGAGGAGTTTGAGAAACTTCAGGTAATTTTTGACCTAGATTGATAATTTGTAGTCAGTAGCATTTACAGTTTTTTAGATGTAGGATTTTAGGCTTCAATATTAACTTCTTTAAAATGCTGTGTTTTGTTAGAGCTTGATATTTCAAAACCTCTACAGTGAGAGCAGAATTGCCTGACAAATATACTTTGTAATAATCAGTTTCTTATACCATCATATTTATTCCTGCTTACAAAAATAATTGAAATATCATATTATTTGTCTCACTAAGGATGTAAATGAGTGTAATGTTAGTGTGCATTCAAAGGTTTTTTTGTTGGAAAAATCTTTGGTTCTGTTTATATGCATTTTATATAATTTCTTCATTGCTAAAATTTAATAGGAAAATTCTGGCTGAATTTCATTGATAACGCACTTAGAGCACCCTTTCCAGGAAATCAATCTTATAGTCCTTTGAATGAGTTTTCTTTAGGAACTACTCAGTTCAGTTTAACGGTCTTTTAAGCGTTTCAGCTGGATTTCAGTTCATCTTTCAAATAATAGTATAGGTTTAGGTTTAGTTTGAGAATCTGACCTTATCTGGTTTTCAGTTAAAATTGAGGTTGGACAATTTAAATGATTCTAAAACATTTGTTGTTGGCACTGATTTTGTTCCTTGATTGCATACATCTTTTTCCCGGAGACAAACAAATTGTCAATGAAATAGATTGTCTGATCCAGGGTGGATGAACAGGAAATATCCAGGAAAAGAAATTCACTGAAATTTTGAAGTTGAATTCAGCAACCCTAATGTTAACATGAGTGCTTGTTCCTAGTATTTCCTATTGTTTTGATTATAGACATCAGAGAGATCTAGCAAATAGGAAGGTCGTAGGCATAGGAGCATAAATGGTAGATACCCTCTTTGAATTAGGACCTTTACTAGATGAAGTCACTATCTCAAGGCCACGACTGCACTGTTTATCTCTAGAGTCCTAGCTCTGATCTGTTGAAGGACATTCTCTGTCTGTGGCTACAGTCCTAAAGGGTATATTTAGGGTAAATTTTAGCTTACCTAAAATTTGATATGGAATTATTTACTCTGTACAAGTAGTCAATGATAACTTCATAAAGATAATAATTGCAGTCTGTGCCCAGTTGTTATTTTGATAATTTGGGGAGAATGATGTCAGAGATTATCACCTTTTTGTATCGTTAAGGGTAGCATTAAGTGGGGTTGATGTACGTATGGGAAGTAAACGCTGTACTATTTGTCAGGTTAAATCACTTGGAAGGGAAAAAATGGGACGTGGAGTGTATTCGTACTGGTCATACCAACTTAAAGATAGTCTTGCATGCTGAAGTTTATAGTCTGTTACGCTACCTGAGATTACCATTACTTCTAGTCTTGTAGAAGTCAGTCCAGGTCATGGTCATTATTTTCTCTTGTTTAAAAGTCCTACACATTTCACATACATTAAATAATATATAAGAAATTAGGACAGCTTTGGTGTGGGTTTTTTTAATGTTGTGTTGGAAATGGATATGGTATTATAATAAGCCTCTTAGTAAGTGGCTTAGCATGTAGGTGTTGGACTTACTGAATATTTTTGTAGATTTTTCATCTGCTGAACTTCACAGATACTCTGATAGCCCATCTGTGAGCTGTTTTAGTTTATCTCTTCGGCCTGAGAATAATGCTTACTGGTTTTGGTAGGCCAAATCTTTCACTGCATAAGAGAGAAACAAATGACTAGATGAATGTCTAGAACACAGAGTTCTAGTTGTGGTAATTATTTTAGAACATAGAGTTCTAGTTGTGGTAATAATTTTAGAAATGTGTTGTAGGACCAAAAAGTTTTGTTTTGTTTTGTCTTTTTTGTTTATTTTTAGTATTAATGCTGTCTTTTCTTATTAACAGGTTAAACAGCAGTGACACTGATGGAGAGCCTATGTATATTCAGATGGTAACAGCACTAGTTTTGCAGCTTATTCAGTGTGTGGTGCATTTGCCATCAACAGAAAAAGATTCTAATTCAGAGGAGGAATCAAACAAAAAAGTAATATTTTTATTTTTTTAATGGCCATAATTTTTTTTTTTTTGTGCAGGAATGATTTTGTAGCTATAATATTTTATGATGGTGCTCTAGTAATTAAGCATTGTAATTTTATGTCTGCTGTAATTATTTCATGAGTTAGAAATGCTGATCTGGAAATAATATTTCTGTGTATGCTAAAATATTAAACAAATAAAAATATTAAACAAATAAATCTTGTTATTTTTAGGTGGATCAAGATGTGCTTATTACTAACTCGTATGAAACAGCCATGAGAACAGCACAAAACTTCCTTTCTATTTTTCTTAAGAAGTAAGTACTGTTGCATTCTTTAGTGTATTGATGAAACCAACTCCAAATAAAATCTGTCACACCTTAAGACAAACCAAACCAAACCACTTCACAATGCTAAATGCCTGCCAATAAAGTTACTTACAATAATATATTTTATAGAACCCCAAGAGAGCTACCTGTCTGGACAAAAAATTTTATTGAACAGAAATTCTGCAGTGTTGTTTACATATATAAGAATATGTCTGATAGTTTATGTAGGATCCTTTTATCAGTGGTCTTTTACTCATCTGAAGCATGGAAGAGAAGGCTGAGTAAATATTGAAGTGGTGAAACCAGATTCTTTCCGTCACCAGAACGAGAAAGATATTAATAAACCTAAAATTACTTTCATTTAGATAAAGTTAGGAATGTCAGTAGCTCATTGTCAGTAGTTAGGAAATGTAGTAAGTAAAGTAGTTAGGAAATTCCTAAAGTTGGGAATGTCAGTAGCTCAGGGAAAAGAAAAATACCTGAATAACCAAAGGATTTGTAACAAAAAGTCCTGAGGTTTTTATTTCGTTAATTTCTACTGTTAAGCCAAAAGGCTATTTACAAGACATCTAGCCATCTCTATGCATACTTCTGGTGTCATTAAAGTTAGGGATGCCACATATAAGTGAAACATTATCAGGTATGATATCTTTTTCTATTTTTTTTTACATTCTGTTTTTCACTTTTGTGGAGTATAATACTGAAATGTCTTATTACTCTAAGATAAGTCAGACCAGGTTTAAGGACTCAACACCTCCTAAATACCCCACTCTAGCTTGAGCTTTAGAATTTTACCTACTTTGTCTATCCAAGTTAATGCAGACTTTAACTCAAAAAAATAAATTAAAAAATCTTAGGAACAAAATTCTACTACCCTGGATTAGCTGCTTTACTTGCAGTGATAATGGTTTAAACTATTTGTCTGTAAATGGATAAAAACAATTTTTCTGCTAATATTTCGGATACTTTTTTTAGAATTGCATAAAACTGATTTTCTGGTTAAACATAGGATTACTTCTGTTTTCATCAGAAGAACTTAAATGGCTCTTAAAGTCACTTACAAAATGCATTTTCTTTTAAACAGGTGTGGCAGTAAACAAGGGGAAGAAGATTACAGGCCACTGTTTGAGAACTTCATTCAAGATCTTCTTTCCACAGTTAATAAACCAGAATGGCCAGCTTCAGAGTTGCTACTTAGCTTATTAGGAAGGCTATTGGTAAGGGGATCTTGGTTTTAACTATGATATTAATTTATTTCTTACTACAATGAAACTTGTTTATTTCAACTCAAACTATTACAGGAATGCTTTCTGATTGCTGACACACATGCAGCATCTAAATATTTTCTTACATGTATCACTAGTATGTAATACATGCAAAATAAAATTTAGGTCAGAAGATCATTGATACTGAACTTAGTAAAGTTCATATGTATACAGTGTGCTGGATTCAGTCAGG